GGACCCCTCACCACCGTCCACATAAAGTGTACAGAACTGGAGTGGTCAGAGGCTGACATACCAACCACTGCCCAGCACCAGGCAGTAGCTTCATCAGGCTCAGTGAGCCCCTCTATAAAACTGGATTAAAATGCACACCCTGAAATGACACAGGGGTCTTAAGAGGATCAAATGAGAGAACTTGGGTGAGAGCATCCTGACAATTGCGAAGAGCGATGCTCAGAAGGGCGTGTTCCGAGCCCATTCACAGTAGCACAAAATTACCACAAAGACATAAGATCTCTCTTAACCAGAGATGGCAGTCTGCCCAACTGCACCCTGCCCTGCTTCATCCGCAAAGTTACAGAGGAGGAGTGACATTCACTAGGCTTAACCTCGCAAGGGATTTGCTACTTTATCTAAGAGGATTTGGAAAGGGGGAAGGAGATGGATGTAGACAGTGAGGGAAGAAACAACAGGCTCATGTAAGAACACGGAGCAGGATGGGGGTGGGGGGTGGGAGCAGGGTAAGCAGGGGTGCTGGGAGGGCCAAGCAGCCGGCTCAGGGGGACCAAAGACTAAACCCAGAGGAAGAGGGAAGATAGGCCAGGCACATTCCCAGCCTGGAGGGAAGGCAGGAAACAGGAGAGGAGTTGCTGGGGGGGGGGGGGGGGGGGGGGGGGGGGGGGGGGTCACTGGCTGAGCCCATGGGTGCTGCCCCCACCTGGACAGACCCAAGCCTCAACAAGCACACTTGTCCGATTTGTATTCCAGAATGACCTCCCCTATTTGGGATCTCTTGGTGAGTTGATAGGGATCAGGGTCCCTTGGGTGTCCCCCAGGGCCGCTTGAAACCTGGCTGCCACCTATCTCCCCTGCCTCGCTCCTTCAGCATAAGCAGCTAACAGCTGTTTCTCTGGTGCCATGTTCTGGGAGGCCTCTGAGCCCATGCACTGCAGTCTCCCTGAAACAGAAGGCCTGAGAGAATGCACATACCCGAGCGGATCCCGAGCCCCTTACACGGGATGGACCAGGTTCCTGTCGCAGTGGGGCTTGCAGTGAGGGTTCAGCCAGTGCTCCAGGAACTGCTCCTCCGCGCGGTGCTCCAGGCGGAGCAGGTGGTGCATGTACTCCTGTCAAAACAAACCCACGGGGAAGAGAGGCCTTTATCCATGGGGACAGCGAGCTGCTGATGCGCAGAGTGGCCGTGGTTCTGAGACAGGACGCCTCCAGACCGAGGGAGGAGAAACCGCCACGCCCAGGCCTCTGTGGAGACCACAGACCCACTCAGGGGGCAAAAGAAGGAAATCTGACAACCCTAAGTGCTGAGAGGGTGTGTGCCCATGGGAACTCGTATACATTGATGGGACTTAACATGGACCAGCCACTGTGGAAAACAAACGGTTGCCTGAGTTCCAGAAATCTCACTTCCCGTTTACACCCTAGCCCTGCTCCTCAAACGTTATCTGTCATCAGAATCACCTGGAGGGCTTGTGAAAACAGATTGCTGGCTCCGCCCCCACAGTTTCTATTTCAGCGGGTCTAGGGTGGGGCGCCAGAATTTGCATTTCTAACAAATTCCAAGCCTTTGCTGATGCCGCAGATCACTGCGAGGACAGAGAAACTCCTAAATCAAGAGCTGTGTAGAAGGTTGTACACAGCAGCAATAAGTCCGTAGTAGCAAACCACTGGAAACCTGCCAAATACAGTGACAGGAGAATGGATAAATTAAAGTAGGGTCTCGCCATGGAATATTGTACAGCAGTGTTGTATATACCTATAAATTAATTTAGCTACATACAACAGCATAGATGAGTCTTCAAAATAGCACGTAAAACAAAGCAAATCCAGTAAGACATTTATAATGTGGCACCATTTTTATAAAACTCAAGACATACACAACTAATAATATATTAGTATGGCTGCATGCATTTGTGATAAAATCATCTTTTTTTAAAAGGCAAGGGATAACTATAAGGAAGCTGAATTTGCTATACTATTATCAAATAAAATAGACTTTGCCCTCATTGGTGTGGCTTAGTTGATTGGGTGTCGTCCTGTGCACCGAAAGGTTGTCGGTTCAATTCCCAGTCAGGACACTTGCCTGGGTTTCAGGTTCAATCCCCTGTAGAGGGCATGCAGGAGGCAGCTGATTAATGTTTCGCTCTGCACATGGATGTTTCTCTCTCTCTCCCTCTCTCTTCCTCTTTCTAAAAACCATTTAAAAGATATTTTTAAAAATATTTTTAGAAAAGAAAAATAAATAAGAAATGTTTAATGACTGTGCAAATAAATGAATGATGAGGTGTCCAATTTTCCCGAATTTTTTTCTTTCCCCCAGGACCCATGCAGTTTGAATTTGTTTTGGTTATCATGGTTGTTTTTATTTAACTCATTGAAATGCACCCCGTGTCCTGGGCAGGGCATCCCTAGGGCAGCCAAGGTGGGAGTGGATGGTGAGAAGGCTCCTCATGGGACCCAGCAATGATACCCCGGGAGCTTGCTGGACGAGGTTGTGAGTTTTGGACTGAATTCTGCCCTGTCCTGCCCTCTCTGGGGAGTGTTTGGCCAGAAGAATAGTAAGTGGGAGGAACAGGAAGGCAATGTGGAGTCTTGTAACTAAGGAACAAAAACTTCCCAGCACGTAGCTTTACTTACTCAACTCTTCCTTGTAAGCAGTGGGCTGAAGGAGCCCATGTTACCTGGCTGCTGGGCAATGTGGTGGAGAGGCTAAGAGGTCTGAGTCAGAATCTGGTTCAAAGCCAGACTCTGCCAATGTTGCTTTACTCCAGACTCATTTCGTCCATCTGCAAAATGGGGGAGACACTAACACTTATTTCATTGAGTTGCCAGGATTCAATGAAATTATAAAGTTCTGTGCCAAATACGTAGTCCCCATGTGCCCCTCTAAACCGGTTCTCACCCCTCCTTCACATGGCCCCGTGCAGGGAGTGGCTGACCTGGATGAACTGCAAGCGCAGACTCCCTTGTCCAGGGGCTTCCAGTTGGGTATGACGTAGGGGTAAGAGGAGAAAGGCTGGGGTGTTTGCTCCTGGTCCCGCCCTGAGGAGTCACGGCAGGCTGCCTGCCTCCCTCTCCTGAAGACCAGATCTCCTCGAAGGCTGCACTCTCCGAGTCTGGGAACATAACTTGCCCCTCCCCCTCCAAGACTAGGGGCTATTAGTCCTGGATCCTTGATCATCTCTTGTTGGTTTACCTTAATCCTGGAACAGCTTTGCAACAAGTCTCTTTGTTACGCTCTCGATTGATTCTGGTTACTACTAGATGAGAAACACCCAAACATATCTTTTTTTTTTTTAATATATTTTATTGATTTTTTACAGAGAGGAGGGGAAAGGGATAGAGAGTTAGAAACATCGATGAGAGAGAGACATCGATCAGCTGCCTCCTGCACACCCCCTCCTGGGGATGTGCCCGCAACCAAGGTACATGCCCTTGACCGGAATCGAACCTGGGACCCTTGAGTCCGCAGGCTGACGCTCCATCCGCTGAGCCAAACCGGTTAGGGCCCGAACATATCTTGAGGTTGTGCACTGAGCATCTCTACCATGAACTGGTCCACAGGAAACTTGCAATAAATGCCTGCTGAATGCAAGACTGAAGCAGAGGGCCTCAACATGTGGTCTGTGAGGTCAAAACTATTTTTAGAACAATACTAAGACATGACTTAGTTGCCTTCTGATCGTGTGTATCAATGGATAAAACTGGTGTCCTAGCAGAAGTCAAGGCAGTAGCTCCGACTATCCTAGAAGTTACTGTGCCCTGTCTGGGTAGCTCAGTTGGTTAGAGCAACATCCCGATAGGCCAAGGTTATGTGTTCAATCCCCCATCAGGGCACATACAAGAATCAACCAATGAATGCATAAATAAGTGGAACAACAAATCAATGTGTGTCTCTCTCTCTTAAAAAAAATCAAAAAATAAATTAAAATAAAGTTGTATCCTTCACCATCACACACTCACAGTTTAAAATCTATATATATATAAAAGCCTAAGCAACCATTACTACTGAACAACTGGAACGATTGGTCGACCAGTTGCTATGATGCGCACTGACCACCAGGGGACAAACACGCAACACAGGAGCTGCCCCCTGGTAGTCAGTGCGCTCCCACAGCCAACCTCCCTGCCCCGATTGGGGGTCTGGCTGGCCAACCTCCCACCGTCCCTCCCTCCCGTGGCCAGTCCCCCCATCGACCCCAATTGGGGGGCCGGCCAGCCAACCTCCTGTGGTCCCTCCCCCTAGCCAGCCAGCCCCTCGATACCCCTCGATCATCGGACAGGCTGAGGGACCCCACCCGTGCACAAATTCGTGCACCGGGCCTCTAGTAGATAAGTAAATGTAAAATGTTCTTCAAATGTCAGTTTCACTGAACCAAGTCATGACACAGCAGGAAGCATGCAGGCTGCATGGCCAAGTACAATGGTCTTCATGGGAAAAGCACCTGGATGATGGTTGGTGTCAAGGACTGAACTAGCAGTGTTTTATGTGCTTGTTTGGCAGACATCTTCTCGAAAATGAAGAAAGTGAGTTTGTCCTTCCAAGGAAAACTACAGACAGGACTTGTCACAAAATGCTAAAGTTCAAGCTTCTGAGGGGAAATTAGAATTTTAGAAAAGTTGTATTTACTCCCATGAGCCTGGCAGCTTTCCAATACTTCAGGACTTTTCTGATAAGGTTGGTGGTGATACTAACAAATATACAGCATTGATACACCTTTTATTTTATTTTTTTAATATACTTTTATTGATTTCAGAGAGGAAGGGAGAGGGAGAGGGAGAAAGAAACATCAATGATGAGAGAGAATCATCAGTCGGCTGCCTCCTGTACACTCCCTATTAGGGATTGAGCCACAAGCTGGGCATGTGCCCTGACCAGGAATCGAACCGTGACCTCCTGGTTCATAGGTCAACGCTCAACCACTGAGCCACGCCAGTCGGGCTATACACCTTTTTTAAGTATATGCTTGTTTGCCTTCTTATTCTTTAAACCTGGTCCCACTCGGCCAACATCCACCTGCCTTTTTTATAGCAATGACCAAAGTACCTAGAACTTGACACATAGAAGGACCTCAATAAAACTCACTGGAGAAATATACAAGTGAGTGAGTGAATTAATTAATTGACTGTTCTTTCTCCATAATCTTAGCAAATCCCCCTTGGAAGATCCCCCCAACATCTGTGTCAATCTGCTCATTACAATAGCCCAGTCCAAATGTACTTAGGTATTTCACACTCCTGAGTAGCAGCTGAAATCATAGTTGCAGAAAAACAACCAAAACACACACAGAGAGAGAGAAAGAGAGAGCGAAACGAGCACTGGTTTCCATGACAGTTCACTATTTATTTAAAATGTTAGGAAAATAAATATGCCACAAAGGCCTACAAGCAATCATTAGTCAAAGATGAAAAGCCCAACTGCAAATCTGCTGAAAACCACAAATTCAACAATTGTGTTGGCTGAGTTAGAAATGACCCGACATTAATGATCATCTCAAATGTTCCTGGATCAAGAAAGAAGAGCTAGATGGAAAATAAATTTTAATTTTTTTAGATTCCTTTCTTCAAGGGAAAAAAATTTTTGAAAATAAAGCAAAAACCAATATCTGTGTTTCATGTTCGATGCCAAGGGTAATAATGGAAGTAAATAATTTAGCCGTAATTAAAGCAGAGATTGAAAGTGGTCCCTTCTTATGGCACTGAAGTGGTGTGATAATGAAATTATATACTTGCCCGGTTAGTGTTGCTCAGTGGTTGAGCATCAAGCTATGAACCAAGAGGTCACGGTTCGATTCCCGGTCAGGGCACATGCCCGGGTTGTGGGCTCAATTCCCAGTGGGGGGGGCGTGCAGGAGACAGCCAATCAAAGATTCTCTCTCATCATTGATGTTTCTATCTCTCTCTCCCTCTCCATTCCTGTCTGAAATCAATAAAAACATATTTTAAAATAAAATAAAATACCCACCAGAACCTGATCTAAGCTGAGAATCATAAATTGGACAGTTAATCTATTAAAGAGCAAACTGTTCCCAAGAAGACAAAATCCTTCCTCGGGCATTTGCATGGAATTGAAGGCCCGGCAGCATGTGGATGAATTATTCTGCTCATTAGTGAAAGCAGGCGATCACCGGGGCAGAAGGCTGGCTCTGAAGTTAACTGCACTGCGACACTTGAAGGCCTGCTGAGCCCTGCAAGGAGGCAGATCAGTGAAGCGCACAACTTACTGATCTCAGTCACTCCGAACTGGTCTTTGAGATCATGGGGAACAAAAGGGTAATGGAGTGACTGCATACATGTGTCAAGAGGCTAAACATGAAAGTGTATTTCACAAAGACTATGTACAATAAAGCTCATATGATTTATACTTGCCCAACAAGAACATTCCTTAAAGGAAGACAGGCCAAAATGGAAAGCATATTCCCAGGACACACAAGTGCTTACGAAAGACATAATTTTAGCTGAGATGTCATCCTTTTGAAGAATTTCCATGCTTCACCCCAGCAGTTGGCAAATAATTTCTTCCCTAAAAATTTGAGATGATTATGAGAAATTTAATGAATTTGAGGGAGGCGATAGAAAAGATTTCTAGGAAACAGTCTCCAGGTTCTGCAGTAGAGTTATGTCCTGTCAAATGTCTCCCCAGGAGAGAAGCAAGGGAAGGAATGGAAATAAGTATAATGAGTATTTAGTAAATGTCAAATATTGTGCTTGGTGCTGGGGACCCAGAAGTGGAAGAAACAGTCCATCTGCTCAAGTAGTTTAGAGCAGACTATGAGGAGAGACAGATTTTTTTAAAGTCAAAAACAGCAATCTTGTGCTGTGAGTCGATGCCATGGGGATGCTCTGATTCATGGTAGGAGGGCGGGGGCATCAGGAAGGCCTCTCGAAAAAGGCATTATTGAAGGTGAATCTCTACAAATGAATAAGAGTGAACCAGGTAAACAAGAGCGGAAGAAACAGGCACAAAGGCAGGTTTACAAGCGAAGCACTCCAAACACACCATCGTTCCAGACAACCTGCTTCTTCTATAGGCTTCTAATGCCAATGAATAGCCCCAAGGTATCCACATAGACAACTACAAGTCCATTCTTGATCCCTATTCATCCCTCATTGAGCCCGCTCATCCCACCCCAGAAATGGCCAACTGGTCTCTAATTCAAGGCACCATAATCATGCCCCCATCGTAAGGTTTTACCTTAATACCTCTACTGGAACACTCTCTTGGAGGACAAGAGAATAAATCATGTGTGTATGTGTTCTCTAACCTTTTGGGAAGTAATTGGATGATGTATACTAAAAGCTTTTAAACTATTCATATCCTTGGATCCAATAATTTGTTTTCCAAGACTATATCCTTAGCAAATAATTAAAAATATCAAAAGCACTTTAGAAAAAAGTGTTCAGAATCTCTATATATAAAAGCCTAGTGACCGGAACAGTGGAACGACCAGAACAACCAGTGGCTATGACATGCACTGCGGCAGCCAACCAGCCTGATCCAGGCCCCAATTGAGGGCGGGGCTGGCCAGCCAACCGCCCACAGCCCCTCCCCGCTGCAGGCCTGGCCCGATGGGCCCCCATCAGGGCAGACCAGCTGGACCCCACCCGTGCACGAATTCGTGCACCAGGCTTCTAATGTTGTTTATAACAGAAAAGTAGTAGAAATGATCCAACTACCTAACAAAAGAGGGTAATTCAGTATCATTATGGTATAAAGAGCTTATAATAATATGAGAAAGTGTGTATCTTATAGAGAAAAACCAAGATACAAAATGGTAGAGTATGGTCACACTTTTTAAAAATATATGCCAAAAACCTAAACAGAAATACATCAAAAATGGTGAGGCTGTCTTTAAGGAGAGGGAACAAGATTACATCTGACTTTCTTTTCTTCTTTTGACTCCTTCTTCATTCACAATTTTTCTATAATAAATACAAATGGATTGAATTTTTATTATTTGTAATTGTACAACTAGTACATGAACATATTATTGTTGCTTAGAATTCAAACATCAAATATAGTTCCCTAGATCGCCACCAGTGATCCTTGTCTCCTCAATGTGATGATACACTTAACATTCAACTAATCATATTTCTAGACCTTTTTCTAGACATGTACAACTATACAGATGTACCTATAAAATATATAGTATTGTTTTGTGTGTGAGTATTAGGAGGCCAGGGAGAGAGAGAAGGTGACATTGAGAATGAAGAGGAAGAACTAATGGGAAAATGTGTTGCAAGCAAAGGGAATCATTTGTGGCCCGGCCGGCTAGCATGGCTCAGTAGTTGAGCATCAACTTATGAACCAGGAGGTCACAGTTCGATCCCCAGTCAGGGCACATGCCTGGGTTTCAGGCTCGATCCCCAGTGTGGGGTGTGCAAGAGGCAGCCAATCAATGATACTCTCTCATCATTGATGTTTCTATCTCTCTCTCCTCCCTTTCTCTCTGAAATCAATCAAAAAATATTTTTTTACAAAAGGGAATCATTTGTGAAAAGATGCTGAGATCAGAGACAGAAGATGCTGAGCAGAGAGAGGAGGGCCTAGTTGAAAACCCGTGAGAAGTTCTGGATGACTGGAGCATACATTGCCCAGAGTTCTGGGCTGGGACCACATTTGAAATAGCAAGAGTTTAGACTAAAATTCTGAAAATTAAACATAAGCGCAGTCATGACTGAGAAAATGCTCAGGGAACGCTCAGAATATTTTTCCACCTTCCTCCCTCTAAACACACACCCAGCCCTTCTTTCCACGCAGCTCTGTCTTCATCAATTTTTCCCCAGGCAATGTTTTTCCCTCTGTTAGAATCTTGAGGCTTCATTATACACAATGTCTTCATGAAACCAATGTAGTAAGTCCTAAATCAGAACCTGAAGTCAACTGAGCTGAACCCTACATGTCCCCAGATGGGATGTCCCCATGGAATATCCCAGTCTTCCAGAAGGGCCCATCCCATTCCTGTGATGTCTAGACCCCTAGTCCCCAAAATCTCTGAAGATTTGGGGGCCATGTTTCTCCTGAATTCTTCTCATAGCCTGTTTCTCCACCACCATAGCTTCCAGACTCGAGTGATTTCCTTTGTCTTTCGTCAGCCACCTTCACCCACACACACCGACCACCTCTCATTCCTCCAAAGAACCACTAACACAGGTTGCTGCATCTAGCAGACTTTTCCTAAGATTTGGGGGTTGCATGGGATAATAATGGCACAAAGCAGAAAACAACCTCAAACTCAATGTCAGGCGTTGCCATAAAATCAATGGATCAGCTGCTTCCTACCACCAGGAATTTCTCAGCGGTGTGCCTCTGAGCGCCTATCCTCCCACCTGCCTCTTTCTCTCTCTGACCCCTCCTCTCATCCCCCACCACTGGACCTCCCAGGCTCTTCCTCCCAGCTGCTTTCATACATTCAAAACCTCTCCTGCTTTCTTCCCCTGATCATGTCTCCCCATTGGTTTCTCTCCCCATCCCCACTGCAGCCTTCCCTTCCTCCATCAAGGGTGCCAACCTGATGCTCATACTCCTCTGGGTGCAAGCCAGCCCGTCCCAAATGCAGGGCACCCCATGATCTGTCCCATAGCATTCTGTCCTTCCCACCACACGGTCAGAAAAGAGCGCCTGCTGCAGTGAATCAATGAAATACATCTGGTCCAACCAGTCCTAGCCCTGAACCTGCTTCCGGAAACCCTACCATCCCTCAGAACCAACATCTGCCAACATTTACGCCAAGTGTCAACATGATAAACACGGCTTAGCAGCTACTCTTGGGGAGAGACTACGGCGAATCTTCACACTCGTCTTCCTTTTGAATTAATTCCTGGTACCTCCCCAAAGCACGGTTCGTTCACCCTCATCAGCGGCCTCTTCCTCTCAAAAAGGGTTTTGTTTTGCACAGTCCCTCAGAGGGAAGAAGCAAAATAAAATAACCCAACTAGTCATCTCTTGGTAATTTCAAGTTAGTGGTGAGCACACGAGTCTCCGGGCTCAGCTCCCAAGGGCACACGCCGTCCCCAGAGATCACTCCTCTGCGTTACTTGTCCCAGCCCACCTGTCTGTCTCCTGGGTACCATGGCAAGGAGGTGCAACAGCTCGTCCAAAAGTGTCATGTCCCATTTCCCTGAATGGAAATGCGAAGGCGGTGTTTCAGAGGCTGTGTCCTGAGACTCCAAAAGGCTCCTGAAAACCAGCTCCAATCACATCATTCTCTGCTCAGAGTCCTTTGACAGGTCCCCGAGCACAGAAGGAAGGTCAGCTCCGCTGTGCCAGCCAGGCCTTCCAACCTGGCTCTCAGAGGACCTCTGTGGCCACCACCGTCCTTCCATGGAGCCCAGATACCAGAGTCAAGGTTAAAAGTGGAAGACGGGAGGTGGGGGCTGGCAGATAGAACTGCCATGAGGGCTCGTGTCCTACGCCACAGGGACCAAGGAGTTAGGAGCCTAAGGCCTCTTGATTCACGAAGAACCACACCTTCCTGCCTTTGCCAGTTGGAGCCCCAGGGAGCCTCAAGCCAGGCATCCTGCCCACGCCCATGCCTGCCCCCTTCCGAGCCCTCTTCCCATGCTTGACCCCACCCTTTCTTGGTTCCTCCTAAAGCTCCCCAAATTCCTTCGCAGCCCCTTGAGGTTCCTCTTCCCCACCCCACCTCTGAGCATTGTGTTCTCAGACTTCAATCCGGGGCCTCTACTCTTCTAATTGCTTCCCAAACTGTGTCTAAAGCCCCAATCTGCACTCCCCCAACTGAAAAATCCTCCAACATCCTCCACTGCACACAAGACAAAGTCCAACTCACTGGGATCCTGCTTGGCCTTGCAATTCTAATTTCCCCTCCTGCCCCCCTCCCAGTGCCCTTCCTCCCTACGCCTGGATATTCCGAGACAACTCAGATTTCTTCAACCAAAGGAAATAGCCATGTCCACCCCTAACAGCACAGAGTCCTTGCTTTGTTTCGAAACCACTTCGTACAATAGCCACTTGCTGAGTCCTGTGTCTGCCACCAACTCTGAGCTGAAGCCCAGGCCACTGTCTGCAGCCTCTGCACCCCCCGGGCCCTGCTGCTTAATGCTCACGGAGTCATTACTGTTTGCTGAATACTGTTTTAAGTGCCTTAGTATGAATTACTTTATACTAAGCTCATAAAATAGTGTTTTATTTTTTTTAATATATTTGTATTGATTTCAGAGAGGAAGGGAGAGGGAGAAAGAGATAGAAACACCAATGATGAGAGAGAATTATTGATGGGCTGCCTCCTTCATGCCCCCTACTGAGAATCAAACCCTCAACCCCGGGCATGTGCCCTTGACCGAAATTGAACCCAGGACCCTTCAGTCCGCAGGCCAACGTTCTATCCACTAAGCCAAACCCACTGGGGCTAAAGTAATTGTTTTACATTGTTAGTTATCATTGTAATAATGTAAGTGATAATATTTATTATTAGTATTTTGTAGATGAGGGTCCTGAGGTGCAGAAATGTGAGGAAACATCCCCAAGGTCACACAGTTACAGAAGGGAGATTTGAACCCAGAGCGTCAGCATTCCTCATCACTGTGACACAGCATCTCAATAAGAGCCTCTTATATGAACTAACAGGATTATTATCCACATGATTCTGCAGCCAGGGAAGGTTAACACTGCTATAGATCCTTCTAGACCTCCACATGGAGACCCATGAAAAGAGGGTGAGCCCGGAGCCCAGTGCCCAGCTGAAGTAAGCACCGGGTAAGAGACCAGCCTGGGCACAGACACGGCTTCCCAGGCATGCTAACTTTGTCACTGCGACTTCTACCCTCCCCTGGGTGGGACACAAATAACAGGAATATCATTATTTCCACCACCAGAAGGGAGGACCAGCCAGGCCTGAAGTGGCCTGTGGCCAGTGTGGCAGGTTCTAGAAACATCCACCACGATCACCATCACGAGATGGAGGTAGCGGGGGGCAGGGGGGGGGCTTGTTTCAAAAGACCAGGCAGGCGGACACCACAAACCCACAGGGCAGAGCTGAGGCCAAAGACCAAAATCCGAGGCACAAGGTAAAGGCAGAGCCCCTCAGGTGGCTGGAGCAGAGCTTCTGCCTGCCCAGAGAGGCTGTCGTTGGCCAAGGGCGCCGTGGTCCAGCCCACCCAGACCCCAAGGGAAAAGGGAGAAGATGGGGTTGGCACCTGCTAGGGGGCACAGCTCTTTAGCACCCGATTCAGAGCTGACACCCAGCAGGCTACTCAGAATCCTGGGACTCCGCCATGGGCTCACTGTTAGCTTTTTAAATACTGTGTGAGCAGCAGGCAAGGAAGCTGGCCCCTCCGGAGGAGGAGCGGCCAGAGTGAAAGGTGAGGTCACCTGAAACCTGACTCTGGGTCACAGCGGTTCTCAACCTGTGGGTCGCGACCATTCATAACAGTAGCAAAATTACAGTTATGAAGTAGCAACGAAAATAATTTTATGGTTGGGGGTCACCACAACATGAGGAACTGTATTAAAGGGTCGCGGCATTAGGAAGTTTGACCACGATCACCATCATGAGATGGAGGTAGTGAGGGGCCGGGGGGGCTTGTTTCAAAAGACCAGGCAGGCGGACACCACAAACCCACAGGGCAGAGCTGAGGCCAAAGACCAAAATCCGAGGCACAAGGTAAAGGCAGAGCCCCTCAGGCGGCTGGAGCAGAGCTTCTGCCTGCCCAGAGAGGCTGTCGTTGGCCAAGAGCGCCGTGGTCCAGCCCACCCAGACCCCAAGGGAAGAGGGAGAAGATGGGGTTGGCACCTGCTAGGGGGCACAGCTCTTTAGCACCCGGTTCAGAGGTGATACCCAGCAGGCTACTCAGCAGGGGACTCCGCCATGGGCCCACTGTTGGCATTTTAAATACGGTGTGAGCAGCAGGCAAGGAAGCTGGCCCCCCCGGAGGAGGAGAGGCCAGAGTGAAAGGTGAGGTCACCTGACACCTGACTCTGGGTCACAGCGGTTCTCAACCTGTGGATCGCGACCATCGGAAAACACATATAGCATATCAGATATTTACATTATGATTCGTAACAGTAGCAAGATTACAGTTATGAAGTAGCAACGAAAATAATTTTATGGTTGGGGGTCACCACAACATGAGGAACTGTATTAAAGGGTCGCGGCATTAGGAAGTTTGAGAACCACTAACAGAACCTCCATCCTGCAGACCCCGCTGGGCTGGGACCAGCACCCATTTTCATTTCTGAGCCCAGCACTCACCCGCATGGGCTCGTCGGGGAACCCGGGTTTGCTCGGCCTGTCCTGGCGCCTGGATCTCAGGAGCTGTTTGGCCTCCTTTTCCGTCAGAATCGGGGAGGCCCCTGGAAAAGTCAGGACAGGGCCTTAGGGACTCTCGGGGCACACGAGTTCACAGTCAAGGCCAATGATTAGCAAGTTCAATTTCAGTCAAAACACAAAAGTCCTTTCACAGGGGCCTGTCCCAGGGGACGTGGCATTCCAGGCGGCTCAGAGAGGAATTCTGAATGGTTTCTAATACGGTTGCCTCAGAGCCAGCCCTGCAAGCTTAGACATCTTTACCGATTGCAATGGCCCGTTCCTTCATAAGTGGGTGTTAATTACATGTTTTTTAAGACATATTTTCTCCAGTTCTCCAGTCCATGTGTTTCTCGTCCTGTAGGTTTGCCTTGTGGGATTTTTTTTTTTTAAATCCTCAATACACTAAACCAAGTTAAAGCTGTTATTGGAATATACCCCGTGACAACAAGATTATGTTCAACTTGGTCATCACGCATGGTCCCTCAAAGAAGATATTTGATAATAAAATTATATTATGTTTTCATAAACACACACAAACTCTAAAAGGCATCATCAAATAAAAGTCTACCGAATTTTGTGATCTCGTATGAACGCTAAAAGAAGGCATACTCTGCCGAAACCGGTTTGGCTCGGTGGATAGAGCGTCGGCCTGCGGACTGAAAGGTCCCGGGTTCGATTCTGGTCAAGGGCATGTACCTTGGTTGCGGGCATATCCCCAGTGGGAGATGTGCAGGAGGCAGCTGGTCGATGTTTCTCTCTCATCGATGTTTCTAACTCTCTATCTCTCTCCCTTCCTCTCTGTAAAAAATCAATAAAATATATTTAAAAAAAAAAAAAAAGAAGGCATACTCCAAGATTTATCAGCGTTTTTGAGAATTAGTATTCAAACACATCTAAATATTTAAAACAAAATGTATCCCTAAGGATACCAATGCTGGGAGCCTGCTCTTAGAAAAACAAGTCATTGAATTATTATACATTAATATGTACTTATACAAACAATACACATCTTATTTGAAATGAAAAAAAAAACACCTTAAAAACATAAACTAGACTTATTTCAGTTGATCACGTCCGCCTAGAAATAGGCTGCGTTTTTGCAGTGAATGCTCACCTGAGAAGGTCAGGAAGGTGAGAAGGAGCGCAAACACAAATAATTTCTTCATCCTGCCTGTCCCTCGCTCCGCCTGCTGCAGAATGAGCCTCAACCCCGGGAGCCAGCCTATTTGAAGGGAGCCGTGTCCGGCCTCAGGCTTGTTTACGCTGTGACTAGCAGCGCGGACCGTGTGATGCTAAGTGCATCTGACCCTGAGTTTTTAATACGACCACGAAAATACCTCCCTCTGAGTTCCTCTAAATGCTCATCCTGAGGCAGGAAGTTATCCCTCCGTAATATGACTTGCAGAGCTTGAATTCGAGAAAGCCACATGCAACATCCGTGTCACTTACACAGATCTATGTTCGTCATCCAGGAGTTTTGAGTTTTCATCTGCAGCTTCAAGGTATGCGCCCGTTTCACTGAGAATGAATCATCTCTGACATTTGCATATCTTATGGCATTTTTTTCCAAAGCCCGTTCGCCAATCTAATTTGACTTTACCAGTCATTTCAGAGGCAAGCAGGGAAATTAGCAAGGGGCACCATGAGGATGAAAAAAAATTTTTTTTGCTGACTTTGGAGCCAGAAAGACCAAGATCATGTCTTGGCCTCACCTCTTTCTCGCAAAAAAAAACCTTCGGTAAGTCACCATTCCTGAACTTCAGTTTCCCCGCCAGTAAAAAGGAGTAACAGTACCTATCTTGTGGGGTGCGATTAGAAGGAGGAAGGGAGATGAACCGCATGGCAACTAGTACTACTCGCCATTCTGCATCTCCCTTTCACAAATAAGGAAGTGAGGTTCAGACGGGTGAAATCATATCCAAGTGCGCACATTATGGATGCTGAAATAGAGGCAAGTTCTCTGTCTTTAAAGCCTCGTGCAATATTCTGCCATAAGACTGTAAGTAGCCATATTCCATGCCATTTATTTTTTCAAAGACAATAAAATCTCAATTAGCTAAAGTCCTTTTAAATTTAAATTGCCTACTGCCCAGCTGGTGTGGCTCAGTGGTTGAGCATCAATCCATGAACCAAGAGGTCACTGGTTTGATTCCTGGTTAGGGCACATGCCAGGGTTATGGGCTCAATCCTCGGGGGGTTGCAGAAGGCAGCCAATCGATGATGTTTCTCTTTCATCGATGTTTCTATCTCTCTATCCCTCTCCCTTCCTCTCTCTCTCTAAAAATCAATAAAACATTTTTTAAAAAATAAATTGCCTACCAATATCACATAAAAGAGTTATTAAATGTATTACAAAACTATGTCTGGACAGTATGTGACATTTATTTGGGATAAAATTCTCAATTCACAGCAATGATCTGATGTTTTAGTGGTTACTTTGCCAGCTCAAAAGAAAACAACTCTCAGTATTGTCTGAGTTTATGCTAATGCTGTGTAACTGATATGAAACCTAAATGTTCTGCCGTCTCTGTTGGTATAAAGATAGTCTGAAGAGCTTGTAAGCAAGAAAAAAAAAAATCATACATTGGTAGCAAAGTTGCCTCGTATGTTAATTTGCCCAAAATTAGATGTTTGGTTTTATGTATTCTGTCGCTATTAACATTTTTCTGTGTTTATACAGTTTTCAATAACTGAGGAATTTTAGGGGATTTATTTTAGAAACATATTTGTCACATTAAACATCTTGGTTTTTTAATGTACATTGTCAACTTGTTTATTTCTTTTGCTCCTTGTGATTAGATCAAACACTAACTGTATTGTCTTATCAAATAAACATCATCTTTTGTGAACCAGAAAAAACAACTTAGACCTAACTAGAAATTTCTAGTGTCCAATGTAATTTTACTATAAAGTGTTTTTTTTCATTCAGTAACTTTTGTTTATATCAATGCTGTCCAATAAAAACATAATGTGATCCACAGATGTAAGCCACATGTGTAGTTCACATTTTTCTAGTAGCCACATTTTTTTTAAGTAAAATAACACATGAAACTTTTTCTATTATATTTTATTTCACATGAAATATCCAAAATATTCTTATTTCAACATGTAATTAAGATCAACAAATTATTAATGAGATATTTTACTTTTTTTTGTACCACGTCTTCATAATCTGGTATGTATTCTACACTTACATATTTCACATGCTCAGTCGCCACATGTGGCTCATTGCTACCACACTGACCAGCGTGGGTCTAGACTAGTGGTTCTCCACCTTCCTAATGCCGCGACCCTTTAATACAGTTCCTCATCTTGTGGTGACCCCCAATTTCATTGTTACAAACTGAATATAATTAAAGCATAGTGATTAATCACAAAAACAATATGTAATTATATATGTGTTTTCCGATGGTCTTAGGCGATCCCTGTGAAAGGGTTGTTCGACCCCCAAAGGGGTCGTGACCCACAGGTTGAGAACCGCTGGTTTAGACCCTTCCATCTTTTTTTAAAAAATATTTTTATTGATTTCAGAGAGGAAGGGAGAGGGAGAGAGATATAGAAACATCAATGATGAGAGAAAATCATTGGTCGGCTGCCTCCTGCGCACCCCCTACTGGGGATCAAGCACACCCTGACCAGGAATCAAACCTTGATCTCCTGTTTCATAGGTGGACACTCAACCACTGAGCCACACCGGCTGGGCTAGATCCTTCCATCCCTATTGCCAACACCCACGTTTAGGCTACTGTTACCTCTCACCCAGCTTCCTGCACCAAGCTCCCAAATGCTCTCCCAGCTTCCCTTCCTGTTCACTTTAGTCCATTCTCCGTGCAACAGCAATGAGGATCTTCTTAAAATAGAAATATAAAATATAAATTGGACCTCATCACTTCTCTGCTTAAGAATTCTTCACTTTGTAACCTATATGAATGTCTATCTGCTGTGCTGTACTCCTGAAACTAACACAAAAAATTTTTAAAAGCAAACTATAATTGAAAAATAAAATAAAAACTTTTATGAGAAAAATAAATCTTACATGTTTAAAAAATAAGAAAATAAAAGTTATGAATTGGTTCATTTTGGAATTTTCCAGTTAATATATTTGGACCGCTATTGGCCATAGGTAACTAACTTCAGAAAGCAAAACTGCCAATAAGGAGGCAGTATTGTACTGATTTTGTGAGTAAACCTAATGAAGGCAACGATAACCAAGGGTAGTCAAATGTACAAAAGATGTTTGTTTTTTGCTAAAGTTTGAAATGCCTTATTTATCAGCATGAGGTTTACTAGTCAATCTCCTTTGTATATTACATTTACTTACAGTTGTTGAATAAAGACTATTTTGAAGAGATAGAAAAGAATCCTTCTTTATTTTCTCACAAAATCAGAATCCTCACTGTGCCCCACAAGACCCTGGATTGAAAGAGACCTTGCTTTGGGCGATGGGCACAAGATGCTGTGTGCAGATGATGTTTTGTTGAGTTGTGCACCTGAAACCTGTATGGTTTCCAAACCAATGTCACCCCAATAAATTAAATTTTTTTTTTAAAAAAAAGAACCTGTATTACCCGTGCTTGCTGCCTTTCCCAACCCCACTCGGATCACTCCCCTCCAGCTCACGCCAATCTAGTCATACTTAGTTACTTTCAACCTAATGAGTTCTTTTCCACCTCAGGACCTTTGCACATTCTCTTCCTCCCTCTTTTAATGACTGGATCCTTCCCATCCTTCAGGTTTCAATTTGAAATGTCTCTTGCTCAGGCAAGCCTGCCTTTACCAGCCTACTTAATGCAAGTTCCCTACCCCCACCACCATTACTATCTCATTGCACTCACCACAATGTGTAAATATTGTCTTTATTTGTATATATTGTTTAATCTGCCTCCTTGACTGGACTGGTAAGCTCTAAGTAAGATTCAATTACTTTCCTAATTTGAAAAAAGGAGGGGCCTCTCGTGAACTGGAGAGGCAGTACTGGAGGAAGTCAGGGGCCTGCATCCCTCCCTGGGACGCTGGCTCCAGGTCTCCAGTGGAGAGGGCCCTTCAGGTGTGATACTGGCAGGGCCATTCAAATGCCCATCAGCCGGGCCCCTGAGGACATTGCTCCAAAGCGGGAGGGGAGTACTATGGAAAAACTCAAAAAGTCACCTTGTTGTGATGTCCCTCTGGTGGGGAGAATTCTCTTCTACCCTCCCATCCCCCACCTTCCCAGGAAAGGCTCTGGTGGGGAGAATTCTCTTCTACCCTCCCATCCCCAGGAAAGACATCGGCCAGATCAATTAAGTGAGTCAGTAGGGCTCACAGCAGAAGATGCAATTTCCCAAAAATCCACAAGGTGGCAGAGTAAAAGAGCAGAACCAGGGACAACCAAGATCAGGAAACAAAGCCACTAAGGTTAACTATTCTAGAAGTTGCCAGCAATCCCAGAGAATCTACTGGATGTGGAAAGAGAGAGTGCTACAGTGCCTAAGACTATTTTGCTATGATTTTAATTCACTTGAAGTTCTTCATCAGATGCTCAGGCCTAGGAGAGCTGCATTGAGAAAATATAAAGGCAGAACGCTACCATCCATATTCACAGCACCCCAACATAACTAACATCTCCACCTGCGTGGGTTTCCCATCTTTTTTAACTATCCTAAACAGTGAGAAAGCTGACATCAAGCTCCCGACGTTGCACGGAATACTGCTTTAGAAGAATAAGACGTGATTTCAAATTCTGTGAGCTAAAGAAACTTCAAGGACAAGGGAACACCTTTTTTTAACTATAGAAAGATGTTGAATCTGTCCCAAGAGACTTACAATGTGTCCAGAGTCAATCAAATAAATTGGAACATCCCTTTACATAGTTGTTTTTATTTCTTTTTTTTATTGTCTGACTCTCCCACCAGCATATCAACTCTATATTTTTACAAGGTACATATAATTCTTTTATAGTTTTTAATAATAGTAACTCCATAAATTGCATGTGCACGCATACACCCATTAATTTACAAGCATACTGTGCGGGCAGCTGTGGTAGATTGAATTATTAGCATCCATTCTTCATCACCACCACCACTACATACCTATGCTGTTTGCCACATGACTTTGCAGTCCTGCCCCTTGACCTTGGGCTCAACCAAGTGACTTGCTTTGGACAATGGGATGGTAGCAGACTGACACAGACAGAGGTATGAAGTGTATTTGCCCTCCTATATCGCTGCCATTGCTAGCTACCCAAAGAGCTCCCCCAGGTAGCTACTGCCCCTTGGAGCTGAGCCTCAGAATTAACTCACATGGAAAGTACCTGAGCAAGGAACCAAGTCTACACATGGTGCAGCTTACAGGAGACCCTTTCAAGCCAGCCCAGCCTAGCTCAGTGGACCCCCAGCTATCACAGCCTGAAGCAGAGCTACCACCAACCTGCAGATCCCTGAGATTAAACTACTGTTATTCTAAGCCACTGGGTCTGGGAGTCGTTTGTTACACAGCAACACTCTGACAACAGCTAACTGACACAGGGGATTCTGCTGGGATGGTTAGTGTGTCCAAATCTGGAGCTATGGGATCTAAGTTAATCATAGGATCCTGATGGACGCTTCCTTCAAAAGTGAATACACATCCACCCTGGAGGTCATGTGGTATAATGGTCAAGGTTAGGGGCTCCAGAGTCACCAATAGACCTGGGCTTGCTTGCATCCCAGCTCTGAAATTTATTACCTGTGTTACACTGAAGCCGTGACATTGGGCAAACTGTCCAAATCACTGTTTTCTCATCTATAAAGAAAAGAATAGTAATCCTCATCCTATTGGAAACCACTGTTGTTGTCGCTATGATTATCATTCCTTCTTCTCTTTGTGAAATCACCCTTATACGTGCATACCCACCCCACTCTCAGATACGTGATAGAAAGTCTGTAAGTATCTTTGAAATAACCAAATGATAGATTACTCACGTACATATTAAGATATATAATTTTACATGTTACGGAAATAAAAATGCATCTGTATTTGCAAAGAAAATGGGGCCCCTTCTGAAAATGAGTGGATTTCCCCCCTTGGTGTCCACACCCCAAGCCCTTCAGTTCTCTTTCCCTTTTCATGCCCTCAGCGTTCTACACAAACACGTACTTTCCTGTTGGGAGCAACGACACAATGGCAAGATGGTTTGGCCTTGCACAGGGGCCTTTCCGGCCTGCGGCGCGCTTCCCCAAGGGGGCTATCATTTCTGCTCCGGGCCAGGACATTGGCCTCAACTTAAGTCTGCCCAGCAGGTAAGGACAGCCAAGGTCAGCGGCAGGGTCCTGACAGCCGGTGCCAGGCGTCTCTCCAACCTAAACAGGAATGACAGGAGCACTGGCAAAGGGCAGGAATGCCAGGTGGTACAAATAAACACACGAGGGGAGTGGGGCACGGGCGGAATCGTTGGTGAAACCACCTCCAAGGCTACTGTCATGTTACATTTCATCCAGGAGAAGTGCTGGGCCTTTAAGGGGGAGAGAACCGCTCTGGTTCTTCAGGGGAAAAGTACTGAAATGTGTGTTGTTTTTCTCTGTGGGAGCTCAGTTGCGATAAGCTTCGGTGAGATAAGAGGAAGTCTAGCAAAGGCTCTCAAACCTTCGGGCGCATCAGAGGCACCTGGAGGCTCACGAGACATCCGAGAAAGCCTTGGACGTGGAAAACGAAGACAAAAGGGACCAAAGAAAAAGCAAATTGGGGCAGAGATGAGGCAGGCTGACATGGCAAACAACCACCACCGACAATATCCTCTGAGAGATCTTTTTTTTTTTTGCTCCCACGAAATGTAAACAGGATGCTGTAAAAAGGAATATTCAGAAAATAAATCAACAAAGAAGTTTTTCAAAATTAGAAACCATAATATAAATTAAAAACTAAATTAAAAGATTCATGGTTAGAGCTATGGAAATTTTTTAGAAAAATAGAGCAAAAAGGAGAGCAAGAGAGCGTTGTTTAAAAAAAAAAAAAGAAGCAAGAAAGAAAAAAAATTTTTTTAAAGAGGACCTTTATCCAAAGGAGTTGAAAACTTATGTCCACACAAAAAATCTGCACACAGATGTCTACAGTAGTTTATTCATAATTGCCAAAACCCAGAAGCAACCAAGATGTCCCTCCGTGGGTGAATAAACAGGCAAATCCAGACAATGGAATATTATTCAGCATTTAAAAAGAAATGAGCTCTCAAACCCTGAAAAGACATGGCGGAACCTTACATACATATCGCTCAGTGAAAGAAGCCAATCTGAGAAGGCTACATCCTGTATGATTTCAACTATACGACATTCTGGAAAAAGACAAAACTATTGAGATAATAAAAAGATCAGTGGTTGCCAGGGGTTAGAAGGGAGGTGGGGATGAAGAGCTGGAGCACAGAGGACGTTTAGGGCAGTGAAACTCTTCTGTGTGACACTGGAATGGTGGGTACATTTGTCCAAATCCATAGAATGCACAACGCCAAGCGTGGGCCCTCGTGGAAACGATGGGCTGTGGGTGATGATGGTGGGTCAAGGAAGGTTCGGCAGTGGTGACAAATGTGCCTCTGGTGCCCCCAGATGACAGTGGAGAGGCTGAGCATGTGGGGGACAGGGACCTATGGGAACTCTGTACTTTCTACTCCATTTTACTGTGAACCTAAAACTGCTCTACAAATAAAGTTTGTATTTTTAAAAAGGGAGTAGAGAGGACTGTCTAGGTTTAATGTTCAAACAACAGAAGTATCAAAAAAGAGGAACACAGACAACAGAGAGGAGGAAGTCAACAAAGTCATTGTAGAACTGAAGGACGCGATCTGCTGGACGGGAAGGACCCAGCAAACCTGGCAGCTCAGAGGAAGGCAGGCACACCTTTGTGGACTGTCAGAGCACTAGAGAAAGAGAGAAGATTCTACCAGCTTCCAGAAAGCAAAACCCAGTCCCACTCAAGGGACCAGGGGTAAGAATAACCTCAGACCTCTCTTCAGCGACAGTAAGAGCAGCAGAAATGGAACAATGTGTTCCATGTCGTGAAGTATAACCGTTCCCAACCCAGAATTCTAGATCAGATCAACAATCAGGTGTGGAGGGCGGAATAAAGAAATGTGTAGACAGGCAGGGCCTCAAAATGATGCCTCCCACGTGCCCTCACTCTAAAAGTTACTGACAGATGTGCTCCACAAAAACGAGAGAATTCACCAGGAAAGGGGAAGCCACGAGTCCCGGGAAAACAGAAGATGCAAACAGGAGAGGTGAAGGGAAACCCAGGATGACCACTGTGCTCCGACATAAAGGGCAGGTGGTCCAGACAGGCACAAGGTGCCATGGGTGGGGGCACCACGAGGTGCAGACATGCCGAGCACAGACTGCCTGGGTGAGCCTGGGACAGATTGTACATATTTTGTTTATCTTGACAACCATGAGCTGGTGAGGTTCCACTTCCCTAACCCCTGGGTCAGCGGCAGATCCTCATTTCTCCCCAAGGAGCATGCCATGTTAACCTTTTTGTAAGAATTTGAGGGAGGTCCTAGTGAGCTAAGAAGGCAAAAGAGAAAGCAAGCTCTCTTCTAGCCATGTTTTTGCCTGGCATGGCGTTCCAACTACAGACCTGCCCACGTGTCCCAGGTCATTAGCAATCTTCCCAGGACCCGCCCACTGATTTTTTTTCCCCAGGTGGGATCTTGTCAGGGAAGCGGGATTCAGACTCTGACCCAGACCCCACTCAGCTTACCTCCTCCAGGAGCCTTCCTATAGTCAAGGCTTCACGGCTACTTCCTGCTGGGGCGGGTTTGAGCTTATCTTTCTAAACAAAACCATATTGTTTAGGGATACTTTCAGGGGCGGGAAAACTATTAAGAAAAGCGAGGGAATGAAGAACACACAAATTTGGATAGCAGTGTCCTGCCGGGGGAGGAGGGGTAGCCATCAGGTGGGCACGGGACAGGCTCCCAATGTTCTTTTTTAAAAATAATAATAATCACAACTTATTTATTCACAGCAACAATCATTTTGCGGTTACCCACATAGTAAGTATGATATTCTTAGCGAGTGGCAATGCGATTAAACATGTTCATTCTTTCTGAAAACCTCGATTAACACCTTGTGATGCAGCCACTCAGAAGCCCGGTTCTGAGTTTTCTCTTAATACTTGGTTGCACGGTTTTGATCACTAAAAAGGCACTTGGGAAAGGTATGTGGATCCAAATGGAGAACGGGCCTCACTGAATCACGGGCTCCCTTTCCAGCTCCGTCCAGCTGTGCACAGGTTTCCGTGACAGCCTGGCCATCTCCTTGGTGGCTGTCTGTCATCTCCCTCCCTGGTTGGAAAGCACTGCAATGTTACGTTTTCAACTCCCAGGATCAAAACCCACAGAAATTATGTATTTGGGAGACTTTAAGTCTGTCTGATCAGACAGGTGTACATTTTTGCCAAAACTTATCGAATTGCACCTTTAAAATGGGGACACTACTCTCCAAGTAACTGAAAAGTTCAGGTAACTTGATGGTGCCTTGATGGCTCACGAATAAGCTTCAGGATGTTCCCAGGGAAATCCCCAGGGGGCTGAGGCTGCCAGGAAAAGTCAGGTATCTTGGTCGTCTCCTGTCTTCAGTGAAGCAGATTGCTCCTCTTTCGGTCCCAGGGGCCTTGCCAAGCAGAAATAAGGCTGGGCCATTGAGGGAGCCGGGGACAGACCCCATGACATCACCCCTCGGGCAAGTGCAAGAAGGGCTTTGAGCATGTTGACAGTCAGGACTCCGTGGGGCCAGGGTGTGTGAGTGTCTGTTGTGTTTTTCTGAGCAAGTTTCCCTTTGAATTGGAGGCAGTGTCTTCACAGACGGAGTGACAGCAGCTGCGTGAATGGCCCCTCCTCGCTGGTGTGCCTGGCTGTCACACCCAGTTCTGGAGGCCCCTTCATGCTGTGTGCCCTCTCTTCCCAGAGCCAGGGCTCCTCAGCACACCCTGCAGCAGGCAGCACCCAGGGCACGCACGTGCGTGCGCGCGCACACACACACACACACACACACACTACACACCTCACACACCTCACACCCGACTCCCATCCCCCCACTCCAGGCCCACTTCTCCCCAGGCCGCCCCCCTTCCTGTCCCCTCCTCTTCCTCCTCTCCCAATGTCCAATAGGTTAACCTTCATGATGGGTCCACAGGTGTTTATTTTATTATTTTTAACTGTGCATATGTTTTATAAAATCTGTTGTACAGTTCACAATGTAAACCAAAAAAAGAAGTTTTAATAAATACATAAGAGAATTACCTGGGGAAACTGTTAAGAAGGCAAATAGATTCCTGGCTCAATCACAATTCTAATTTGGGAGACCTGGTCAAGACCTGGTTAGATGATGCTGATGCATGTGATCGAAGACCACCTTCAGATACCTACCTGGGTTATGAGCATCACAGGTTTTGGCATCTCACTGACTGGGTTCAAAGTCCCAACTCAGATGACTCCTGATTGTGTGACATCATGCAAGTCTCCTTCATCTGTAAAATGAGGATGATAAACTATGCACAGTGCCTAGGATCTGCATGGCTATAATAAGAATTATTATTACTATTGCCTTTAATAATAGTAATACTTTGTGGAATAAGAGTGTTTTCCCCAGATGCAGTAATATTATTAATCTATCCTTATACACATAAATTTCCCTGATTTTCTCTTGGCAAAGAGAAACTATTACTGTTAAAAACTTTTCCATAAGCTTTAAACTTTTCATATCCTTTAGCAAAATGTGAGACTCTAAAAGAAAAACC